ATGTATGAACTGCTTCAGCTCAAGGCCTGGCTTCGATTTTGAGAAAGGACCTCTCTGTATTATTATGTATAGCATCAACGTAGGCACCTTAAATGCACTGCATAGGAGGAGGCAAAGCGATCCATTCTATCTGTCCTTTTCGTCGGCTGGCTGGTGCGAGAGACTTGTCCGTCACGAGCCTGTTGAAGACTTGCCAGATGAACTTGCGCGAGAGCTGCCGGAACTGGCTTGACTATGCTTGACTCTCAGGACAACTACGTGCAAGCCGTGGCGTGTCAGGACACGCCAGCATTCGCCAAGACGAGTTCCCTGTGACTGACTTGATGCGAGGACGGTCCGAACAAGCTGACGAGGACAACCTGGAGAGCCCTGCGGGACGCCTTGCGTTTAACCCGCTTGTGACTTTTTTTGTTCTCGCTTGTGACTTTTTCTTGTTTCTTTGAAAACAGCCGCTGCTCACTTGTGACTTTTGCGTGCAGAGGCTCAAAACACTACAAAGCACAGCGTGTTTTGCTTGCAGCTGCTAGCTAGCACGTTCATCTTCATTTTGTTGTGTCCTTATTTCTGCTGTTCTCCCTTTGTCGACTTTCCCGTCGGATGGTTGTTCAAGCCCCCCCACCCACCCCACACCCCGCTGTTGACGAGAAGCACGTCCTTTCCACCCCGCTGATGTAGGTTTGAGCTTTGGGCGCTTTTCGCATGTTGGAAGATTTGGAAAGCCAAAGCTTGGGGATGTAGGTTTTGAGCTTTTGGTGGTTTTCGCATGTTGGAAGATTTGTAAAGACAACGCTTTGGGATGTAGGTTTTGAGCTTGTGGCTCTTTTCGCATGTTGGAAGATTTCGGAAGCCAACTCTTTGGGATGTGGGCTTCGAGTTTTTGGCGCTTTTCACGTGTTGGAAGATTTGGAAAGCCAAAAGGTTTGGCATGTAGGTTTTGAGCTTTTGGCCTTTCTCACATTTTGGAAGATTTTGATGCCAACACTTTGGGATGTAGGTTTTGAGTGGTTGGCCTTTTTAGTCTGTTGGAATATTGCGAAATCCAAAGTTGGGGCATTGGGTGCTTTTCGCATGTTGCGAGATCTGAAAAGCAAAGCTTTGGAATATGGGATTTGAACCAATCCCGAAACCCCTAGACCCCTAAACCCTAAACCCTGAAAGTGTCTTATTTGTTAACAGGCAAACCTTAGGGAATACGACAAACTGTCTCAAACCCTGAACCCCAATCCCTAAACCCCTAAACAGCCCTAAACTTAAACCCTAAACATCTAAGCATAAACCCTATTTTATTTACACGAGCAAACCCTAAGCCTAAACCCCAACAGTGTCTCTTTTTTAACAAGCAAACCCGAAGAAATACGAACTGTCCTAAACCCCGAACCCCAAGCCCTGAACCCCTAAACTGTCTAGGCCTTGCAGCCCCAAGAATAAACCCCTGTTTCGGAATAAAACCAAAGCTGAACAAGAAACCGAATGAGTGGGTCAAAAGAAGGGTAAAATACGCAACCAAAAAAAACGGGAACAAATTAAATCCTGATAGGAGCACAAACCCGAATGCCGAAAGCAGTCACCTATAACATAATATAACGCAATATAAACGAAACATCGGTGCGCGGGCGGAAAAACAAAAACGGTTTTCTTTCGCACGGTTCAATCGGATCATTGTGCATGAAGTTCTTGCGTAGTCGAACCCACATCTAACCCACCCGCACCCCACCGACCCTCACCCCACCAACCCACATCCCACCCACCCACACCCACCCACCCACATTCACCGACCCACACCCACACACCCACACACCCACACACCCACACACCCACACGCCCACACGCCCACACACCCACACACCCACACACACATCCCCACACACCCACACCCCACCAGGTGCCACCACCACCACCACCACCACCGCCAAGTACCACCACCACCGCCACCAGGTACCACCACCACCACCACAAAGCACCACCACCACCGCCACAGTGCCACGTGAAGATTCGCTCGCGAAGGTACGCTCGGTGCAAGCAAGGCTGTAAACGCTGCGAAGCCAACGTGGTATCCTTGCTGGAGGATGGCTGCAGTAGCCTGAATGTGGTTGAACGTGGTAGCTGGTAGTGCGCTATGCGAGCGTAAGCTCAGCTACTCGGGCAAAACGGGCACCAACATCGCCGCCCCAGCTTCGATGAGGATGCAGTTGTGCATTGTTTGCCATTGCGCGAGCATGCCTCTCCCTGACGCAGCATTGTGGTTCGGCCGTGTTGTCACCATGGCACGGAGTTTTGCGCCGAAGCTTCAACTGTTGGCTTGAGAGTCGAGGCGCCACCTCCGATTGCCCGACCTGCACGGCGGGCTGGGGCTCCAGTGGCGTCGAACTGCCGGATGCTGAGTGCGCAAACGCATGGTTTGGCGGTGCGTCGTTCTAGTTTCCGACGCTCCGCTATGATAGCATCCTGTAGCGTCCTGCGCTGTCGTGATGTCTTTTGCCAAGTCCGTTTAAACTTTGGCGCTTTGGACCCACGCGAGGCCGCGCGGCCGCTGGGATCCGCCAGACAGTATAATATAAGTTCGATAAACTTCGACGACAGCTCCTAAGTCTAGCGCCAACGGCCCGTGGAGGACGGAGGATGGATCGAGCCTCCGCACCTGCATCCGACGGAGGCAGGCAATACGAGAAATCCTGGTATCCTATGGCTATCTGCGATTATCCCCACAGGAACCACGGGCGGGTCGAGTGAGATTGCTCCATCGACTGATCGTTCAAGGCAGGGCCGAAAATCACTGGTGCTGAATGTGTTGAGCCGTTCTTATCAAGGTTCCTGCAAGCATGCAGGCTACCGCTGGCTCGTGTTCAATAGACATGAATGGTTCTTGCAGGGAGTCACGCTTCGTTGGCGCACGAGAAGCCCAGCTAAGTTTCGTGCGCGGCAGAACCTGGTGCCCCAGTCGTGGTTCAAGGCCGGTGCTGGTACATGACAGCATTGGGCGGCGAGGCCATTTTTGTTGACAATGGGGAGCAAAAACCGAATAAGGGCTTGGTTGCCGCAGACGAAGGAACGAGCTTGCACAGATGCGCAAACGAGCTGCGGGTGGATTGCGTTGCACCTGTGTTTGTTTCTAAGAGGCCCTTCTTATTCGGGCTTTCTGACAGGTGCTTTCCTCAAAGCCCATGGCATGGAGATGGGTCTGTTTTCGGAAGACAAAAATAGTAGAGCATCATATATGTCAACCATGAAAAACCAGAAGATTCCATGGAGAAAGTCGTCATTGCAGCAGCCATAGAAACTCAGAGACGACTCGATGCTCGTTCGTAGTTTTCCATTTGATGCTAGGCCGGTTGGAAGAATCCAGAAGGGCAACATGAAAGGCCATATTCCTCGAGGTTCGAAAGGATGTCTAGTACATCTTAAACGGCAAAGTGCTAGAGCTGCTAGACGCATGCAGCTTGGAGAAAACCTTCATCACCTTGCGCCAGAAGGTGTCCGAGTTCGAATGGCTGACGCAAGTTACTTTGGCCGCAGGAACCTGAGAGAATCCGGAAGTTGTGAACAGTTACCCAGCCAGTATGTTTTCCTGTGGAGGTCTTCCTGCAGGCGCTCCAACGTATTGCTCCCATGGGGGCCGAAGGTTCGCAACAACGGTTGTGGCCCATCCTTGCTGACGGCTGACGGCTCTGCGGGTTGAGGCAGCCTGCAAAATGGATTCGCGTGCTCAATTGCCTCCCCAGCCCCTTGCCAGGTGAGCCGCCCAGCAGTCGGAGTGTAGAGCGCAGGTGCCGAACTCCCGAAGTCGTGGTTGACTGCGCAGCTTTGAAAATTGAACTCCCACACGCCAAACCAAGCCCAATAGCCTGGATCACGATAGCTTTGGAATAAATACCGAGGACTTGTTGTTGTTGTTGTTGTTGTGGTCTCATCGTAACCTTCCAAAACATCAGAAAACACGGCACGGCATCTTTGAGATGGCCTGTCACCTCCTTTTGATGTTTTGTGGGGTGGGGGGGGGGGGGGGGGGGCGGCGCACAGTTCTGGCGCATTCCAGACAGCTCAGGTGACGCAACATACACGCAGGTAATTTGTAGCAGCAGCTGATAGCCGCTGCCCGACAAGCAGCAGCATCACGCTTCTTTTACGGTCGTTGTAGGGGAGATGGCGTACATACATGCCAGCATACATACATACATACATGCATGCGTAGACACATACATACATACATACATACATACACACACACATACAGACGTTACGCAGCTCTTCCATTTGTCGGAAAGGTCATTTCAAGAATCAAGTTACGCGACTTCTGCTTTTGGTGGTGGTGGCGCTAGATTTAATACAAACAGGTGTCACGCCACTCTCTTGTTTGTGGGATGGTCACTTGTCAACATGAGGCTGCTTTTCGTGGGGGTCGCAATCAGAAAGCCAAGGGTTATCCTGGTGTTCAGTGTGTGGTTTTTTGTGAAGGATTCACTACGTCTTTGTTAAAACTTGCTCGCTCCAGAAACATCCAAAACATTTGCGCCGTGTTGTAGAAAGAGGCACGCTGTAAATATCAGCGTGTTGGGCACGGTTAGAACAACATAGTCGCAAACAACCCTCGCATCGACGTTGTCGGGGCGGCGGTTGTGGTTGGTGGTATTCATCTTCTTTTTGGTGTTGCATCCGTCGTTGCTGCTGTGATTTCGTGCCTACAGTTCAAGAGGTCGGTCGGCGATTTGGGCAGACTCCTGTACATCTGGCAGCTGCATTGTTTTCCAAGACTTACGCAAAACGTGGCCTCTGCCCAATCCAAGAGCTCCAAGTCGAAGAGCTCCCCACTTTGGGCGATGTCAACCTTCACGGAGTTGCCGAACATGAGCACCAACACTCTATCAAGCAAAGCCTCATCCAGCACGTCCCAGTCGAAGTACATGGCCAGATGAGACACCCAGTTCGGAAGCAAGAATGGCTGCGTCGGAAACCAAGACGGCCGAATCGGATAAACCCTGGGTCGAAAGGTTCGGTCCAGGGCAAAATGTAGGATGCAATTTTTGGATCCTTTTCAGGAGAAGATGCTACTCAAACACTTTGAGGGTCACCGTCGTTTTGCGAGTTCTCTGCTCGCTTCTCCCTGTACACCTGCAACTTGACCAAAAGACTCTAGGGTTTACGGTGTAGCCTTCAACCCAAAAACGCCGCCGACGTGAAACGGAGGTTTGCGGTGGGGTTGGCGGCAGCTAAGAGGGGCGCCTGAATCAGGGTCTGGGGTTCAAGGTTTTTTTCTGTCTGGTGTGTGTTGCCCTTTTGGGAGGGGGGGGGGGGTCCTTGGCCCCTAGGCCTTAGTCGAAACATGGCGGAGCAGTCTTAATTCCTTCAACCACAAAAAGTGGAACAACAACAACAACAACAACAACAACAACAACAACAACAACAACAACAACAACAACAACACCAACAGCAACAGCATCAGCAACAGCATCAGCAACAACAACAACAACAACAACAACAACAACAACAACAACAACAACAACAACAACAACAACAACCAACAACAACAACCAACAACAACAACCAACAACAACAACCAACAACAACAACCAACAACAACAACCAACAACAACAACCAACAACAACAACCAACAACAACAACAACAACAACAACAACAACAACAACAACAACAACAACAACAACAACAACAACAACAACAACAACAACAACAACAACAACAACAACAACAACAACAACAACAACAAAAACAACAACAAAAACAACAACAACAACAACAACAACAACAACAACAACAACAACAACAACAACAACAACAACAACAACAACAACAACGACAACAACAACAACAACAACAACAACAACAACAACAACAACAACAACAACAACAACAACAACAACAACAACAACAACAAGCAACAACAACAACAACAACAACAACAACAACAACAACAACAACAACAACAACAACAACAACAACAACAACAACAACAACAACAACAACAACAACAACAACAACAACAACAACGCGCGCACGCTTTGTAAACGCGCGCGGCGAAGCGTGTTTAGGGCACGGGTACTTTTTGGTTGTGTTGCATAAATGCATTTTGCGTGGCCTGCGTGGGACGGAACACACCTGTCCCTTCAAGGACAGCGTGTGAAAACGGTTTTGTTTTGTTTTTTTTTTGTGACGGAACCGTGTATGTTTCCGTCAAAAATGAGCGTTTTGGCTAGGACGCGCTGCGGACGGAAATTCCTGATCGAGCAGCGTGTGTAGGCAAAACACGGCTACAAAGCAGCACATTGCGGCTGCGTGGAAGCCACCGAAGAAGCCCAGACAGGTCAACTTCTTCGTTTTGACGAAGGAAAACCACAGGAAAAGCGGGCGTGGCGGCAAATGGCGCAAGCCTACATACCCTTCAGAAACCTGGAACCCTCAAGCGCACAGACACCGTCAACCCCCAACCCTAACCCTGGCCAATCGCACGCACTGGTAACACGGACGTTATCATCGTGCGGGCATGGATGCTCTGGCCAACCACGCGAAACACCGTAAATGCCGGTGTTTTCCGCATGTAAGCGCCGCGAAGTACTGTAAATACCGATGTTTCAGCAACGTACAGAAACGTGAAAAGTGGACAGCCGGAATCACCGGTGGCAGTGGTGTTTTCGGCATGTGAAGCACACGAAACACTGTAAATACCGATGGAATCGGCATATGCTGAACGCGCGTTTACAGAGCGTGCGGGCCAACAACAACAACAACAACAACATTTTTCATTTCGTTTCGGACGCATGTGTGGGGTACGTCCCGCACGAAAGGACGCGCCGTCCTGCCCAGAGATGGTCGATGGCCTTCGAGACGTGCTCACAAGCTGGGATCTTGATTCGGTCCCTTGCCGTGATTGGTGGTGTGTGAACATTAAGAATTAGATAGAATTAGAGTCGAACCTTGCAGGCTCACTTTGTCGGCCATTCTTTCGGATCCATCGTCGTGGACTGGATGTGCAAGAACGCCAAGGAGACGGCCATGAGCTTAACTCGCTTTTAGCAAGGCAAAGAGTCGAGAAGGCGAAGCCCCTGCACTCTTGCAGGTCAAAATCGCAACCTTCCTGTATCCAGAGCGTTTCTTTCTCATCAAGCCAAAGGCCAGGGCCGCCAGTGCAGTCATGCAAATGCGCGCATGCATGGCAAGCTGCCTCCTGGCAAGCTGCCTGGCAAGGCCTGCCACAACTTGATGTGCCAGAACCCGGAGACTCCTACACAGCTGCTTCTACACTACTTCGTTGCACTTCGTTGCGCGCGAGCTCTTCATTACGCGAATTGCCCGAGATGGAAGTTTCGAGAGGTGCCCAAACTGAAAGTGGACAGCAAAGGCATAGTCTCTCCCGGAACTTTCTGGTTCCAGAACTTGCCTTGGCCCGAGGTGCGCTGGTTGTGCTGTCCGGCGAGGTCTTCATTGCCGCGGCCACAGTTTGGGACCGTTCCTTAGTCGCCTTTGGCTTTTAACAGCTTTGTGGGCTGTTCTCAGGCTCCAGCACATCCCGCTCCTTGGCGGCGACGCGGACACTGCATGCTGATGAGTTTGTCTGGCAATTTTGTCTTGCGAAGGTTCGCCGCTATCCAGCTGGCTGGCTGCAGCAGAGCACAGACACCTTCAGGCTGTGGAGGGCACAGGGAGGGCCCAAGGAGGGCCAGAGCACAAGGAGGATGCAAGCTACTCGACCGATGGCTGTCAGGACTCTTTGATTTCCGAATCTCGGACATGGGGAGATGACCTTTGGCCCGGCCTTCGCCTCAACGATTCTTGGTGTCCTCCGGTGTCCTCTGCCGCCCTCCGGTGTCCTCCGGTGCCCTAAGTTCTGGCAAGGTTGGCCGCTGTCAAGCGGTGGCGGAGATGATGGCGCTGGAAGCATGTAGTTGCCGACGGAGTCTGAAGAAAAATGCATGCCATAGATCGAATGCCAGATCGGCAGTTGAAGAAGGTTCATTCGTTGCAACAATTGTGGCTGTCAATGCTTTGGCTCGAAGGAGGACGTCCTCTAGGTGCACTGGACACCATGAGTTCATGCAGGCGCTTATGTGAGGCGTGTAGCGAGGAGTTTTGTAACAAGTAGGAATGGAGTGGGAGCGATGCATGAGACACTCTGGCCAAACTCCGCCCTCGTCTGCCGTGGTCCCAGCACAGCACAGCGACAGCACAACGAGAAGCGTGGCAAGATGTAGACAGACTTGGGGCATCTGGCAGCTTATGCATAAGGCTTCTCAGTGGGGGAATGTGAGTGTTAGAAGCCATGCTACGTTGGATCTGAGTCAGTAAAAACCAACTGGTTACTCTGAACATGTTTTTATATAATCTGAGCAATTGTTTTGTTGTGGAAGTCGGTGTGGTTTTAATTGGGTCATTTGGAAAAGTGGGAAACTTGTTTACATTTCCAAAATATATTTACCTTAAACAAGCACGCAGGTCAGTCCCTCCATTCCTCTCCACCGATCGCAGTGGCCTGGAGCTGAGCAGCGCTGAGCAGCACGTGTGTTTCTGAGAGAACGTGGGGTTTTGTTAGAACCACTTGCATTACTGATTCCAAACAAAAACGGCTGCGATGCCCCATCTGGATTCTGAAAGAAGCTGGTGCAACTGGTAGACTTGATTGGAAGGTTCACGAGACCAATCTGCGGCGGCCCTCCAGTGTGAAACTTACTTGGTACTTGAGGCTTTGGCTCTACTATAGTGGCACGTGGTGCAAGGCCTCGTCTGGCTTTGATCCGACGAGAGTCAAGGTACTTCTCGACGAACGTGCCTGTAGATGCTTGAAGCGCAGCTTGTGTTTGCATGTGCTTTGCAGATTCAGTGCCGGAGCCTTATAGAATGCATTTGCCAGGCTCGGGCACGCTGTTGACCCATGGCAGCATCGCCAGGCCTGCCGCCGACAACGCAGATCTAATTCTCAGGCATGGGCCGTCTATAAGGCGCTATTCTCGTAATGTTCGATGGTATAAGCCTTAAGCCCTATGGAGGGGTACCCGCCTGGCAACCCCCTTAAAGCTTTAAAACTACTTAGGCAACGGGTGTGAAGAGACAATGCCCGGTGCATGCCCGAGCATTGCATGAACACTTTCTCGTTCCCAGGGAAAAGCGTTAGCACGGACACCTGCCCTTCAAGCCTTGAGGCTTAGAATCGTAGAAGCTGCCATCCTTTCCGTGGCATCTCACAGTCCAATCGTCCTGCTCCTCCTCACAGGCAGCGGTTGTAGCCGGCATTTCAAAGGAGTCCTCGCATCTTCGCATCTTCTGGAAGAGAAGCTTGCAGTTCCACAAGGTTCTTCTTTCAGGCATATGCAGCAACATGCAACTGTCCGTTCGGCGTCACTGACCTCGTGCCCAAGCTGGGGAAGAGTCCGGAATCTGCAACTTCTGCAGACTTTGCCTCAGCACTTAGACAGGTGTAGCAAAGGATGCTGTTGACAGAGGCTCGGACATTAAGCAACAGTCAGGTCAGTTTGTATATGTGTACATATATATGTATATCTCGAAAGAAAGCTCCTTTGAGCTTGCGGATTCGGGGTTCGGAGACAAGGCCCCCCCACCAAAGCCTAACCTCTGTTCTGTAGTAGGGCCTCATAGCTGTCATCTGCATCATGAAGAGTTCCATCCGTTACCCTGCAAAAGACCCCGCAGGTTGGCAAGCATACCCTAAACCCTAAACCCGAAAGCGCATGTTGGGGGCTTCGGGTCTAGGTACTGATACAAGGCACCAGAAGAGCAACAAAATCAAGCGAGCACAGAGCACAGCCGCCAAACCCCGGAGAAGCAGGATCCTGGCAGCTCCAAGAAGGACGAGGACGAGGCCCAGTCGGTGCTGAGAATCTCTTCGCTTCTTGGGTGCTGAGTCTCTGAGTAGGGCGGCTATGCGGATTTTGGGTTTGGGGCATTTGGGACATAGGGTTAAGGGATTAGGGTTTAGGGACTCTTGAAGCTGAGTTGGATTTGGGCGCCTCGGGTTATGGTTTAGAGGGCAAAAACCCTAAACCCCAAGCCGCACGGTCAAGGATCCTACGGGGTTGTTTGCTTGGCTTGCGCCTCAACGCCACACTCTGCTACGTTTCCAAGCTTCAGGGCCCTTACCTTGAGCGCGCGTCATCTTTAGCGGAGGTATGACACACATTGTGTATATGAAGCAAGGAAGGCGCGGGCTTGAAAGTTCATGATATACGTATGAACAAGGTTTGCTGTTACTATTACCTTTCCTTAGCCCTGCCTTTGAGAGTACGCGTGAAGCTTCAAGAAGGCCTTGTACGGTTTGGGGCTTTGGGTCCCCAGCCACTGCCAGGAAGAAATTCACAAGCAAGAAGCCAGACAATCGCGACAACGCCAAGAACACGCAGGACCCAAGGCCAGAAATGACATTGCTGAAGGCATCCGGCAAGCAGGCTTGTGACGACGTGCTTGAAGCAGCGTGCAATCATGTAGGCAGTCTCCTGTGTGCAGGCGTCGGGTCGCAAAGCTCTGGAGCAAGGTCGCGACTGGGGAAAGGCAGGGCCCGCATGAGGGCAGACGCATGAGCCAGTCGTAGTACTCGTACGTACCCATAGGGCCTTCGCGCTTTTCGGGCTTTGGCTGCAAAGAGTTGTCACGTGGTATTGGAAGCGATGATCATGAGCTCGGCCAAGGTTTGATGAATCTGCTTATTGTGACTATACTTTACTTCCAGCCCGTTTCACAAGGCCCAAACCCAAAAGCAATGCAGCACCAAAGGGGTCAAGCCTCGATGTCCCAAACCACTCTTTTCAACGCCCAAAAACCAGAGCAATGCAGCACCAAAGGGGTTAAGCCTCGATGTCCCAAACCAGTCGACAGAACACCCAAAACCCAAAGCAATGCAGCACCAAAGCGGGTCAAGCCTCGATGTCCCAAAACCAGTCTTCATAAAGGCCCAAACCCCCAGAGCAACGCAGCACCAAAGAGGTCAAGCCTCGATGTCCAAAACCCCTCGACACCACGCCCAAACCCGCGAAGCAATGCAGCACCAAAGGGGTCACCCAAAACCCAAAGCAATGCAGAACCAAAGGGATCAAGCCTCGATGTCCCAAACCACTCTTCACAACGCCCAAACCCCCAGAGCAATGCAGCACCAAAGGTGTCAAGCTTTGACGTCCCAAACCAGACATAACGCCCCAAACCAAAAGCAATGCAGCACCAAAGGGGTCAAGCCTCGATGTCCCAAACCACTCTTCACAACGCCCAAACCCCCAGAGCAATGCAGCACCAAAGGGGTCAAGCTTTGACGTCCCAAACCAGACATAACACCCCAAACCCAAAGCAATGCAGCACCAAAGGGGTCAAGCCTCGATGTCCCAAACCACTCTTCACAACGCCCAAACCCCCAGAGCAATGCAGCACCAAAGGGGTCAAGCTTCGACGTCCCCAACCACTCTTCACAACGCCCAAACCCCCAGAGCAATGCAGCACCAAAGGGGTCAAGCTTTGACGTCCCAAACCAGACATAACACCCCAAACCCAAAGCAATGCAGCACCAAAGGGGTCAAGCCTCGATGTCCCAAACCATTCTTCACAACGCCCAAACCCCCAGCACAATGCAGCACCAAAGGGGTCAAGCTTTGACGTCCCAAACCAGACATAACACCCCAAACCCAAAGCAATGCAGCACCAAAGGGGTCAAGCCTCGATGTCCCAAACCACTCTTCACAACGCCCAAGCCCCCAGAGCAATGCAGCACCAAAGGGGTCAAGCTTTGACGTCCCAAACCAGACATAACACCCCAAACCCAAAGCAATGCAGCACCAAAGGGGTCAAGCCTCGATGTCCCAAACCACTCTTCACAACGCCCAAACCCCCAGAGCAATGCAGCACCAAAGGTGTCAAGCTTTGACGTCCCAAACCACTCTTCACAACGCCCAAAACCCCAGAGCAATGCAGCACCAAAGGGGTCAAGCTTTGACGTCCCAAACCGGACATAGCACCCCAAACCCAAAGCAATGCATCGCCAAAGGGGTCAAGCCTCGATGTCCCAAACCAGCCGACATAACACCCGAAACCCAAAGCAATGCAGCACCAAAGGGGTCAAGCCTCGATGTCCCAAACCAGTCGACACAACGCCCAAACCCCCAGAGCAATGCAGCGCCAAAGGGGTCAAGCTTTGACGTCCCAAACCAGACATAACACCCAAAACCCAAAGCAATGCAGCACCAAAGGGGTCAAGCCTCGATGTCCCAAACCACTCTTCACAACGCCCAAACCCCCAGAGCAATGCAGCACCAAAGGGGTCAAGCCTCGATGTCCCAAACCAGTCGACAGAACACCCCAAACCCAAAGCAATGCAGCACCAAAGGGGTCAAGCCTCGATGTCCCAAACCAGCCGACATAACACCCGAAACCCAGAGCAATGCAGCACCAAAGGGGTCAAGCCTCGATGTCCCAAACCAGTCGACACAACGCCCAAACCCCCAGAGCAATGCAGCACCAAAGGGGTCAAGCTTTGACGTCCCAAACCAGACATAACACCCCAAACTTAAAGCAATGCAGCACCAAAAGAGTCAAGCCTCGATGTCCCAAACCACTCTTCACAACGCCCAAACCCCTAGAGCAATGCAGCACCAAAGGGGTCAAGCCTCGATGTCCCAAACCACTCTTCACAACGCCCAAACCCCCAGAGCAATGCAGCACCAAAGGGGTCAAGCCTCGATGTCCCAAACCAGTCGACATAACACCCAAAACCCAAAGCAATGCAGCACCAAAGGGGTCAAGCCTCGATGTCC